ACGTGGCAGATTCACGAATCAAAAAAGAATTGCTAAAAATCTCGCCAAAATAAAACCATCGATAATTTTATTGATCTTTCCTTTACCGAAAAGGTTTTAATGAATGTAGTTCCTCGGTAGCCTGACACCCCCTGATACATTTCGAGATTAATTGTTGCTTCACGGAAGTTTAGCAATTTTATATATTATCCGGCATGGGGTCCAAATTTTGGTCAGGAATCTGCTCCAGTCTTACAGGGGTACTAGGAGAAGAAAAAATCCAACTCCGAAGCCTCGATAATTCATTCCGATGGTCTCGATTCCTGAATCCTCAAACCGAACTCGATGGTTTCGATACCAGCACCTGCAAAAAGTCCACCTGGTTGATTCTTTATGAAGTGTTTGAAAATCATGTTTTTAATATAACACTTATCCTGTGGTTTTCATGCTGATAATCCTCCATGTTTGTCTTGCCGCTAAACGAAACCACATATGCTTACAAATGACAATTCTGATGACAACATATACTAAATGACACGACTAGGAGTGCTGCAATTTTGAGTATACTGATAAATAAAAATTGATTTGAAATTTAGCTAAATAGTTGAGATATCCCACCTTAATGTTAATAATGTGTTGAAGCTCCTCTATTCGCTACACATTCGTTAAGCCGTCGCGGCATTGATTAGAATATTTGATTGATGTCTTGTTGGTGTATTGTATCCCAGACCATCTGAATTTGGTTTCGTAGAGTCTCCAATGTTTGTGGACGGTGCGGTGAATTTTGCAACCTTCTTCCCATCATGTCCCATACATGTTCCGAAGCAGATTTAATCCGTCATGAGGTCGTGCTACTTTTTGCTAGAAAAGATCTTCCATTTTTTCCAAAAAGGGAAGCAGATTTGGTTGTAAAACATGGATATAGCGCTGGACAGTCATGTTACCTAGAATAAACATTAATCGTGACCTGCTGCCGTAAGCAATGCCACCGCATACCATAACACCCACAGTGCGACGAATATTCCGTTCGACATCTTTCACCACATCTCCTCCTTACTCTTGCACGGACATCATGTGTGCCCAAACAGAATCTGGACTCACCGCTGAACACGACTGAGTTTCATTCTGTATTCCATTCAAGTCTCTTCCTACTCCATACCAATAGCTGCCGACGATGCTGTGGGATCAGAGGTAGCAGAAGAAAGGGAACACAAGACATGCCCTGACTGACTCTAAAATGTAAAACGCAAGGTCGCGTGGGGTACAGGGGATCCTTAATAATCGTTTCCTCCCCGTATGCACGGACACCATCACCATGTGGTCCTCCAGGAAGTCGTCTTTCGATCCGTCTGCCTCTAATTTGGTTGATGGTATCCCATTATGCGAGCAACGGAGGACAATCCATTACCGTCATGTTGCCGGCGGATGATGGATGTGCTCCCAGAAAGACACACAACAGGACTGACGGACAGACAAACACGGCCGCGCTAAATGCTCGCCAAGCCAGCGGTCGCATTGTTCTTATGGACAGTGCGAGTTGGTGCGGTACCGCTTGTCGGATAACGGATAGGAGTTCCTTGACTAGGATGCAGACAGACGAAGCGAAAACCCCATATTCGTGTTGGAAATTTTGCGGACGTCCTTTATATTTACTGGCGAGAAAGTGTTTCAGTCGCGAAAAATTTTAAAATGGATAAATATACTCAGTGACATTAGGAATGTTACACCCAGAAAGAATAATTAAACTTGATTTTTGAGCAGTGAGGTAGTCAAGAATGATACGATAACATTCTCCCGAAATTTGATAATAAGGAAAAAATAATAACGTGTTGGGCGACCCCGCAGCTGTATACGTCTAGGCATCGACAAAATGAGATGATCGACGTCTGGTTGTGGCAACTCGTTCCAAGCAACTCGAATTTTGTGGTTTAGCTGTGGAAGACTCTGTGGTGAATGATGCAAAGTGGATAGTCTCCTCCCATCATATCCCACACGTGTTCTATGGGACTTAAATCCGGTGAACGGGGTGGCGACGGCAAAACATTAACGCCTGCTTCTTGAAGAAAATCCGTAGTACAACGAGCAATATAGGGACGTGCGTTGTCTTGCTGAAAAAGGACGTGTCTACGGCCCTTTAGATACGGCAGGTTTGTACGACACCATCAACATAACGCGCAGCAGTCATATTGCCTTGGACAAAGAGAAGGGGTGATCGGCTACCATAGGCAATAGCCACCCCAACCATTACTCCAACAGTCAACAGCAAATCCAATATCAACCAGTTCTCCACGGGGGCGTCTTACCATTCTACAACCATCGTGCGTATCTAGATTGAATCGCGATTCGCCGCTGAAGTTGACATTTTGCCATTCTGCCTCCCAGTGTTGCTGTTCTCTGCTCCAGTTCAATCGTTGACGACAGATGTCCGCAGTCAGCGGAAGCACTAACCGTGGACGGTATGAAAAAAGTCCAAAGGCTTCAATACGACGATAGAGTGCACGCATAGTCTACATTCTTCTCCAAACCATTCTGACACCGATCTGACACGTAGCGGCAAATCGGTCTCGCAGGGCTAGTTGTCTGAAGCGCCTATGTTGACGCTTGGATGCTCTGTTCAATGGCAAGTGGACCACTTCTACATTCAGCCAGAATCACCAGCCATCTAGCGTCACGGCTATTAAACGGGAACTGAGATCCATGACAGCTCCGACTAATAAGTAGCAGCGGTGCGCGTCAGTGTACATTAATTGTCTACGTCACGATGTATACAATGCGTATACAATGTATACATTACGTATACAATGTATACATTACGTATACAATGAATACAATGAATACAATGTATACAATGAAGAAAGCAATGACAGGGTTGCCAGGTTTTCAGTCAAGTTTTGATGAGAAAATCGGCAGAAATCGCCAATCTTTGAAATGACTAGGAGTCAACCATAAAACGCCAGGTTAGAGATTGGAACGAATTTGTGGGAGGGGCGGAGAGGAGGTGGTGGTGGTAGTAGACTGCCTGTTAACTGAAGAGCGGATGTGATGGAGGTTAGGCATAATAATAATATATGATAATAAACAATTCGTTGAAAAGGGAGGGTCGATCAGGATGGGGGGAGGTTGTTAGACACGTTTAATCTGAACGAAACTATAAGTTCATTCACAGGAGGCGGATCCATTGTGCTTAGAGCACAGAACTTCCGCTGGTTCTCGTTTAATGCTTCATTATTCTATACAATTATTTTTTTACAATGCTATACCTCGATCGACAAACTTTCTATCATATGATGAATTTCAAAGACATGGAGAAATTCATTTTTAATACCTAGAAGTATATAAATTAGTTGATAAAATTTATATGTCACCTCACACAAATATATCTCCAATATAGCATTCCTTTGTTTCTATAACTGTTACGATTTTATACTTTTAATTCATGAAATATATTCATTTATATATGTTATATACATTATATTTTTATACTCCTACATTTTTAAACTTGTAACCTATCGAATGTACTTATGTTTTTTGTATTGTTTCATTTTTTGTGTGGGGGGGGTTAAGTGGCAGAGTAGCATTATGCTAAACTTTTACCCCTAAATAAAGACGATTTATTATTATTACTATTATTATTATTTTTTTTTTTTTTTTCATGCTCATAGTCCTCACGTATGGTGGTGTACTATCTTTGAGGGGGAGTTCACCCCAACCAAGGATAATTTTTACAGAGACAGTACCTTTCTCACAATATGACACGTTTGTAAGATAACGGCTTTTTGGAATAGTATGTGAAGGCCGTTTGGAAGGTCCAAGGTCTTTAAGCTTGAGGAGACTTGTTTGGTAACAGCCCCTTCCACGGAGATAACAATGGGTACAATCTGCACTTCCCTTAGCTTCCAAATCCTCTTCATTTCAATAGCCAGGTTCTGGTATTTAACAGATTTTTCACGCTCTACCTTGAGGATGTTGTGTGTAAGCGGAATTCCAACCTCAATTATCTGTGCATATTGGTTGCTTTTGTCTATCAGGACAATATCGGGACGGTTAAAGTCTACAGTTTTGTCGGTTAGAAATGGCCGATCCCAATAGAGTATTACATCTTTTGATTCCAGAACTGGCTCAGGCGTGTACTTGTAATATGGCGGAGGAGATTGTACCAAGTTAAGTTTACGAGCTAGCTGTGAATGGATTATTTTTGCAACCTGGTTGTGTCTTCCCAAATAATCGCCAGCTGCCAACGCAGGGCAAGCTCCAGTAATATGTTCGATGGTTTCGCCCGCCTGGTTGCACTTCCTACATTCATCTGGGACGTTGGATTTGAGAATATGTTTTTCATAGTTTTTTGTTTTTATTACTTTGTCCTGGATGGCAGTTATGAACCCTTCCGTTGTTGGATGGAGATATCCCTTTCTCAAATAGGTGAATGACAAAGCTTTATCTATGTTGTCACCTCTCAGTTGGCATGGGTAACGGCCATGGAGAATTTTCTCCTCCCAGCATTCTCTCCTCCTAGTATTCGATTCCGAGGCCGTATTTGATTGAGGTTGTCGAAAGCTCAAAGGGGTAAATTATTATTATTATTATTGTTATTATTATTATTATTATTATTATTATCATATCGGTAAAAATGGATTACAAATTAAGTGGCGTCAGGAATACTAAATATCGCCACTTATAGCCAATTTGCTGGATACTGGGCGACACTAAAGTAGCCAATCGCCAAGCTATCCATTTTAGTCGCCATTTGAAGCCGTCAAATCGCGACTTTGTCGAAAAAATCGCCAAGCCTGGCAACCCTGGACAATGTATAGAATAGCATAAGTGAGGTTAGGTGTATTCACATACGTCAGAAAGTTGGTAAACAGTGAACCGACAACTTGAAAAAATACGGCTGGACGCTTCAAGAACAAAGAAATGGATGAAATAGGGTTCATTTGTTGTTCTTAATTTATTTAAAACTGCAACTTTGTATACATATATAAATAAATATTATATATTTTTCATTATTTATAAACTGCTTCCACTGTCAAGCCAATAATGCAATGTTGCAGAATTTGTATCTATTCTGAACTTTCAGTTCCAGCTAAAATCGGAGAACCATTAGGATCGATCTGGAACTGATCCCAAACAGATTCGACAGAAATGTGTATTTGAGCGTAGAAAACAAGGCGTTGCAGCAAGTTACAGTCGTGTCCTGTGATGTTCATCACTGTTGTGCCAGGCAACGTTGTGTGTGGCGCACTCTTTCTACACAAGTGGTGCCTGCTTGTCTCACTCTCTCTCTCTTCCTAGTACCTACAAATGGAAATATAAAATAGAAAGGGACTTCCACCAGTACTATATGCAAGTAGTTGAACTATGATTCGCTATTGTATACATTATATACATTGTATACGTGAATATTGAGACGTATATATTCACCATTGTATACGCGTATACAATGGTGTATATTATACATGGTGTATACAATGCGCCCATCACTGTGCGCGATTATTCACAATGGTTCGATTCTGGTGCGATGGGTGGAGCTTCGCGCTATCTCATGCCAAGAAATATTTTTTTCCGGGTGTAAACACTTCTAATGTCACTGAGTATGTTAACGTAAATAATCAACCGAAAAAATGCATATTCACCTTAGCGGTGCGACGTACCGTCAATGATCGCTTTGCTTGTCGGCGGTTCCTCGCCATTTTCTTCTGAGAAAAAGAAGAAGCATCCCGGCGTTGCCGCTTTCCCGCATCGCGTCACGTCTACCGACCAGCAAGCATTCAGAGGACAGAGGCAGCCAACTCGCAAGCATCCGATGAATTCTGTTTTTGGTCGCTAATTAACAAACATAAACGCATTGTTTCGGCGGGTTAGCATAGGATGATGCTGGCTATGCGGACGGACAACTTTATGCATCTGTTCATGCGAATTTCGATGCAGCTCTTGAGCTGAGCGACGCGACAGAAATTGAAGGGCGCGGGGCAATAGGGTACTTAAGCAACATCGTATGTATAGGATTCGTCAGAATTAAAACTATTAAAACAACACAGAATAAATATATGTATAAAACAAACACACAAATAAATCATAAAATAACAAACTCGGAGACGGTATAATAACATTTACTTATAAGCGATTCGGTCAGTTTAGCCTTAAGAGCATGCATATCTCCACACTCTTTAATATGGTTTGGTTGCCTATTGAAAATTCGTGGACCCAGTATTTCCGGAGATCCGACGTCGATCTTATACTTGGTAAAACACATTTAAGTCTCCCACCTTGCCTGGTCGAGTACGAGCTGAAATTGTTTAAAAACCTATTTCTGTGAATAAAAGTGCACACAGCCATTTTTTATAAAAATATAGATGGTAAAATCTTAAGGCGCTTAAAAATATCATCACAAGAAAGCCTACTACTGACTTCTATCATGCATTTAACCACTCTTTTCTCGCCAAAAATGCTTGCTGAACATCACTTGTGGACAAACCCCAGAAGCATAGTACATACCTCAGTCGTATCTCAACTTGAGCGTAGTAAACATTAACTATCTATGCCTTGGTAAGGACCGTTCGCAAATTTTTCATAAGAAAGGATTGGGAGGTTATCTTTGAAGCAATACACCTATGTATATACTCAGTGGTCTTCAAAATTTAAACCTGTATCTGTGGGCCAAAAGAAGCTGACCTATTTTAAACTTTAATAACTCTTTTATTTATTATTTTTTAATGTAGTTTTTACAAAAATAAAATATATTTATTGGAGTTTTTTTTCGTGTTAAGTATGAAAAATAATGTCGCGTAAGTGACGGCCATTTTCTCTTTCACACACAACATTCCTTTCCAAGAGGTTGTCCATAACTGCCTCCAATGTTTCCCGATATATAATGAATTCCCATTATGATATTGTCCATAAGTTGACTTAAGATTCGAGGTTTATTGCGGTAAACTCTTTCTTTCAAATATCCCCATAGATAAGAATCTGGCGCGGTTCAATCAGGGGAACGTGGGGGATATTCAATTGCCGATCTTTTTGAAATAAGACGTTCTCCAAAGAAGCCTCTTGGCAATGCCATTGTGGTTCCAGCTGTATGAGCTGTGGCTCCATCCTGTTGGAACTACATATCAGGTCTATTTTCAAGCGCTGAAATCAAAAAATCAGGAACTTTTGGCCCACCCTGTACATATAAGCCCAAGAATTTTACCTGCGTGTCAAGGGACATTCTTGAGCCATTAAAAGTGATATTCAACACCATAGGCTTCTTCTGGATGTTGTAAAATTTCACAACTGATGTTTTTCCAGAATTTAAATAGAGCTGATTGCTGCTAAGCTACTTGAGAATATTTGTAGTAAAACTCCACAATCTCCCTATAAGGTAGCCTCACACGTATTCTATATGACCACTGAAGTATCATCTGCGTATAAAATGAATCTAGCTTCAGAGGAACAGAATTCAAGGTTATTTAAGTATGGACTGAATAGCACAGGCCCAGACGGACGCCTATGGAGATGTGAGCCTTGTCGGACTTAATAGGTGCATTCAGACCACTATCGACTATACTCACAAACTAATACCTGTTCCCTAAAAAAGACCGTATCCAATGCCATGGTGGATCACTTATATATAAATGGCTTTAAATCATTATCTAGTGCTATGTGTATTTTTGCAAATGCGGCTTAGGTGCCTTACTACCCCAAGCCCACCAATTGCCCGAAATGATACCACCTATGAAGAAGACCGCTGCAGCCCAGGTATTCCAGATACTTCTCTAATACCCTCTCCAGACTCACGCGCGAATCACGGCGTGAAATCGCGGCTCGGATCGCGGTGCGAATCCCGAAATTTCTTCCTACAGTTCCACACTCGCAGATGTTCGCGCCTGCTTCACAGTATAGTTCGCGGTCTTGACGAGTATGGATGGTGAAATTGCTACTGCTGCTGCAGTGCTACTTTGCGCTTTGGCATTTTATAATTACGCATATATAAGTAAAACTAGAGCAATTGAAAATAAGTGGAAAAAACACAACCACTCCCGACACTCGCTATGAGGCAACTGAACCACCAGCGAATGTGGAGCCTAGTCATGTTCGCGCTTTGCGAACCCTTTGTCGCGGGACAAAAAACCGACAACAAACGGGAACAACGCGCGAACGCGACGTGAAGCCGCGAAGAATACGCGAATGGAATCCACACTCATGGATCGCGGGTAGTTCGCGGCTTCGCGCGCGAATCGCGCGTGAGTCTGGAGAGGGCATAATGGCACGGCGATTATTGGTGCAACAAAAGAGGTTAAAACGTTTTATTCCAATGTGGAGTTCTTTCTGTTTTCCTACTTCTCACGATAACAACGCATGTGACTAAGGTTTTGGAAAAAGCTTGCCCTAAACTTTATACTCGATTTTGATTTAGATACCACCAAGCAGGTAAGCAAATCACAGTTTGTTGTCAGTCAAATTGCTTCTATAATTGAGTTCAGTATGCTGCACAAGTCAGCTAAAGTAATACATAAAAGAGTAAGTGAAAACAACAAACAATACGTAAATAAGACAAAGATAAAACACAAGAGGCAATAAAAGCTAGAGAGTTGATTAAATTTAAAGTTAAAATTTAGATGAATGATAAATCAATTCGGTTGAAAAATTATGTTCTAAGCGCCGATTTCACCAACATTAATATTATGGACAAATGGGAAAATACCTTATCGAAATGCAATTTGACAGAAGCTGTCAAAGGTCTCAGAATATCAGTGATTTCTATTAAAATATTGAATAAAATCGTGAAAATTCGACTGTATTATAAACAAGACCACTTTTTGATTCCAACATGATGCTTTTGTACAGAAAAAACAGAACAACTTTCATGTATTTTGATATATGTTATAGGTTTACATTTAACAATCCGTTATCCCCCTCAGCGAATGGGAATGCGGCAAATAATAGGTCGATTTTCTAGCTGATAAATTTGGCAGCAGATTTGGACATTTGTTAATGCATGGCAATCTCGAATTTAAGTTCAATATACTGTTATCATTACATACCTGTTGAATAGTGTGGATTTGTTCTGTATTTTGCAAGAAAATAGAATATAAAATACATACAGACAGATAGGTTGCCATTTCTGGGTCTCGTACAAAACGGTGCAGAGGACTTGTAAAGTGCCAAAATCACGTAACTTTTTTTCACAGTTCTGAACACTCACCAGTAATTTGAATTTCTCTTTATTATTGATAGAGTACCGACTCCTAGGCCAGACCCTTTTCAATGATTTTCTTTTGACAAATTCCATAGTTTATTGATCTATTGAGCTGGAAACCACCTAATTGTGAAAGTATGATCTCACACATATGAAATCTCTCTTTCGTACCGACTCAGTATTGTGTTGAAGACTTATGAACACTATTATATTTTCTTAACGATTATCTCAGAAATTTCTTCATAAAATACCGTTGATGTAAAGTTGGTTGTCTATCGACTGCCCATAGGAAATCAGCGCCATCTTACTTCTGACATTGATTGACATTCAACTGACAGTCCGTCATTTGCTGTTAAAGCGTAGGCTAAAGTGTGTGGGTCCTTCGTTTGATTTCCAGCTTTTGGATATTGGACCCCAATCACCAGTTAGAGGAATAGCTCCATTTTTGTACATACCTTACGTTTAGTTGTTTCGGTTGTTGTTTGGGTGCTACTCTTTCTATTTTTATTTTTAGAAGAAGTTTGCTCAATATATGCTTGCATTGAGTTATTGATTTTATTTACCGTGTTTTATTAATTTATTAATTAATTACAAACAAAAGGCGTGGTACCGCCTCAAGGTCTCGTATAAAACGGTGCAGACGACTTTGTTCAGAAATTGCGTGCATTTTCGAGAAAGGAGGCACTTTCCCAAATACACTCAGGCATAACTCGTAAAAATACACGTTTGCACGTATCTAAGGCAGAGGCATTTTGTGAGAAACCGCGTGATTATAACGAATGATGGAACTGGAGTGCTATCTAGATTTGGATCCTGTTCAAACTGTGAAGGGCATAATCCTTATTACGATTGCTATAATTTTTAATCGCCCATCGCTAGTCGCTGCAATAATAAAAAAGAACTGATTGTTTTAGACATGCCTTCGTCGATTGTCGAGCTTACAGCAGAAGATAACGGATCTATAAGAAGGAATAATGATCTGTGTCCGTGTTGTTGAGTGAAGACTAGCAACACCGTTCAGCAGTTCTCGGTACTAAGCGGCGAGGTTCGAAAATTCCCGCTATCCCTCTAGCTTCAGGCGAACAGGCAGTATCGGAACTCTCTGCAGGTACTGCCTGATGACTGCATTTTAAATCGGGCACTGCGATCCTACCCGATGTCCAGGTTATATAGGGTGGACCAGAAAGGCGTACCAATTTCAAAACCGCATTGCTCGTGTCAGGCACGCGGGAGCGGGACACGGGTAGTGGGGATAAGTAGCTTGGTGATCGGAAATTTAGTCGCCATGGAGCGTTTAACCGGTGAGCACCGTGCGTTCTGTGTTAAGGCTTATTACAACGGTATAGATTCGTGCGCTATTGCGCAGCATCTGTTTCGCTCTGAGTTTAGTTTAGATGATCTAAATTAAATCAATGTCCTAGTGAAAATGTAATCAGGTCGTGGGTCAGAAAGATGAAGTCTACCGGTTTGACATGAATTTGTTGTTGGATAAATATTATAAGGAAATAAAAGGGTATGGTGACATCTGAACACAAAATACATAGTTTATTCTTAGTAATAATAATAACAAATGAGCAGAGGTGAATCATAGCAGATGTTAAAAATATTGTCCGTTATTTTGTGCCTTCTCACGCCGAGGAGGTTAAAATCCCAGAAAAAATGGAGGGGGTAGCACCCAAACCAAAACAACTAAACGTAAGGTGGGCACAAGCCAGGGTGCTACTCCATAAACTGGTGATTGGGGCCAAATATCCCAGAATCTGAAAATCAATTGAATGGCCGACAATACATCTTCCAACCAACGCTTTAACCGGAAGTGATCACCCACGCGAATTTGATGAAAATCTACACAAAGTACATCACTGGATGCTATGGGTAGATCTCAGAACCGTTTTATTTCCCAAAATAATGTTGCGGGTGAAGGGGTCTACGAGGGACCAACGATATTTTATAAGGGAATTTCTGAGATAGTCGTTAATAAAATATTATAACAATAGAGTGTCCAAAAGACTTCATCAAAATACTGAGTCGCTAAGAAAGAAAGAAAGATATAATATGTGTAAAATCATACTTTCAGGATTAGGTGGTTTCGAGCTCAATAGATCAATATCTTATAATCTACAAATAAAGTCAGGAAAACATTAAAACCCATTTTGGGAAAATTCGTTTTTTTCCGTATCTCTCCGCAAGGTCTTTTTGAAACTTTCTAAGCGGCATTTTGTTGATTACCTAAATACGCAACTCTGTCCCATTTAAGCGAATTCGTTTCCGAGATCCCAATGGCGAGGCTGGAATTTGAAACACCTTGTTAACTGTAAATAAAAATAGTTATCTGATATTTTAATCACATGCATATTCCCTATTATCGTGGGAAGTAACAATCTCGATTTAGAACAACACATTACCGCTTAGTCCGGGTGCCCACTACACCGTTTTATTTCTTAACTCGGAAACCCTGCGAGTTTATGCGATGCGTTTGGACAAAGCCTTTTCCTACCTATTATCGCTTTCCCAGAACCATCCTGTGTCCCAATTGTAAGTCGCTATGTAAATGGTTGGGTGTATGAATCCACGTTAACGACAGCCTTTTCGACTTGGTTTTATGTGTTCGCACTTCGTGACTTGGCAAATGAAAACTGTGTTATGATATTATGCGACCGACCAGCGAACGATAAGCGAGAGAAAGGCCGGACGGAGGGATGTCTTTTTTTGTTTTTTGCTCAACGTTCTTATGGATAAAAATAATACGAAACTGTTTGGTTTTGTATAAAAGCGGATGCAATTTTCACACTTGCTAGTGTTGTAGGTAATGTTGTCAGCCAGTCACATACTGTGTCTCGGCCTCCGAAAAGAGATCTGAAAGATACTAGCGTCAACTACGTGTAAGCCTTCCTTTCCGCAAAAAGTCCAGAAAAGTTGGAATGCAATGAAGATTCCAACTTTTCTGCACAATCACAGAAAGGGGGTTAACATAAGCTTCCGGTAGCTCAGTCGGTGGCATGAAGACATCTACAGGCGTGTAGCTGTGTGTCGACCATGGCATGGCTAGAGGATAGAAGAACAAACAGAACACAAAAATTTAACAGATTTTATTTAACAAAAAAGCATTTTCATTACATTTGAAATTGGAATTTTAAACAACAAAATAAGTTTTAAATCTTTGGCGCTGCTATAAAACTATACGCTTATCTTTCGCTGGTCCATTTTGACTGGACTGAAGCGAGGATGGCCAGGTGCTTGAAGTGGAGGTCCCAATTATGAGGGGTGACCTCACATTTAGTGGCTTCAAAACCAGTTGTAGGCGAAGTTGAACTTAAAGGTGATAGCGCTGCCAAGGCACATGCATGGGTGAAGTGATAGGGCAAGCAAAAGCAAAGTCAAAGACAAAGGCAAAAGTCAAAGACAAAGTCAAAGGGAAAGGGAAAGGGGGTGGCCCCAATCTGAAAAAGAACCGTATGCATTAGCAACGTGCCTTAATGGCCAAGGCATTTCCAATCTCAGTCTGCCTCAAAAGAGAACCAACGATTTTCTAGGTTAGAATTACATTACATAGTATGATAAAATCAAACCGAAAATTGGAAATGCCTTTCATAAAACAAAATCATGAAACAGCAAAAAAAAAGCGTAAAACAAGATGGTGGTCATCAAAAATTTCTCCACATGCTTCTGATATAAAAACACAAATATCGAATATTCATAATCAACGTACTCATAATTTCACTGAACTATGAATATATATACGCACACAGAGGTAAAATCGATGTGGATCGATTTCTACCTCGATTTGATTAAAGTTATGGCGAATGATCGAAGTAGTCGAAAATGACGTTCGATGGATATTTTAAAATCGTACAAGAAATAAACCACTTACATATCGATTATCTATAAACTTCAGGCAGATCCAGCAATAAAACTGTATAGTATTATAAAACTCACCATTTTGTCCTATTCGGACACACATTCTACAAATCGCTAGCACATGGCGCTATATGATCTCATGCTACAGAGAACAAAATTCTTAGCTCTTGCTAGATCGGCGGCTCAAGTGAAAAGGAAGCGCGAGGAAGATCGCAGATCAGGAACTCCGCATCAAGCGCGCTCCAAGCGGAAATTTTTCCAAGCAAAAAAGCTAGAGATGGGATTAATGAAATGATAATCGCGAAGTGATTTAATAAATACGATCGGACGGTGAAACCGTTACATACGAGACAGTGGCAAAACAAAAACATGAATTTAGAAATCTACGTTGAAAAGAGTGAGAGTGTTTGGTTCTGATACTGTCTCAAATATTTCTAAAATCACGTAACCTTTTTTTACTATTTAGATCACTTCACTGTAATTTGAATTTCTCTTGATTAATGATAGAGTATCGATTCCTAGACCAAACCCTTTCCAATGAGTTTCTTTTGGCAAATTTCAGTATTGTGTTGAGACCTTTTGGATACTAATGTTATATTTTATTAATTACTACCTTAGAAATCTTCTCATAAAATATCGTTAGTCCCTTGTTTTCCAGGGTCCGCCCAAAGGCAACCAGCGTCCTTCTACTTTTGACATTGATTAAGAATGCACTGACTGACTGACGGAAGGTCGGAAATTCGGTGACGGTCGTTTTTTCCTTTTTTTTTCTTGGGGGGAAATCTGCAAGAGATACCTGAGACCGGATATCTAGTATCCGCATTCAGGTTATACCACCTGGGCTAAAATCCCCTCCCCCACCATCATGCTGGGATTCGCCTGCGCTTACTACCAGCATAACTGTGTCTCACACATGTCATTGTTTCCTCGGCGGTTTCTGCAGTACCATTCCCATGCATATGTCCTAGGAGTCTGCGCTGTACGTTCTTCTTTCATCCTTGTCTTTAATGGACAGTATTTCCCTGATAAATCTTTGTACTTGTACCGACGATTGGTTGTTCGCCATCATGGTGCCGGTCAGATTGCATTCCGTCAGGTCGTGTCCTAGGTTAACAACGACTTGTGCCCTTTGTTGCTCCCATCTGTTGCACTCGAAGAGAGTGTGTGCAACTGTGTCTTCTTTTTGACAATATATGCATCCATCGCTACCTGATTTTTGTATTCTCTTCGTGAATACTCGAAAACAACCATGCTGCGTCAGCGTCTGCGTTAAGTGGTCCAGTCGTCTGTGCTTGCAAGCAATCCACTTCCCGATGTCAGGTATTAGCTTTTTCGTCCACTGAGCCACGTCCTCCGATAAGTGCCACTCGTCCTGCCATTTACTGATGGTGACCTCGCGCTCCTCCCTTCTGGTCCTCGCGGTTTTTCCATCTTCCCTGCGGTGCAGCATCACTCTTTCTTCCACAAGCACGTGGATCGGTGCTATCCCTATAATAATTTGTAAGACCTTGGTGGAGACGGTCTTATAAGCACTCGCCACCCACAGCAGCAACTTCGTTTGCACTCTGGCGAACATGTGACTGTATCTTGTATCATTATGTAACGAGCGCCGTAAAGTAATGTTGAAAGCACCACGCTGTTTATAACCTCCCCCAATGAATAGCGACTGCAACATTTAGGCGGCTGCCGCTTTGCCGCGCTACATCTTTGTTGTGTCGGAGCGTAACTGGACTACGAATAGGGTATAGTCATGTATATTTGTCTTTTGTTTATGTAAATCTAACCTTTTTCCTGTTGACGTTTCATATCCGCAAAGCGATTTGAATAAAAGCTATGATGATGATGATTATTATTATTATTATAAGTATTCGACTTTAATTTGGATTGGGAATCTTCTGGTGAAATATCAATGGAACTAGTCAAAAAGTGCTCGAACAAGTACAAAGATGGCTATCCATCATGATGATTTTTTAAAGTCAGATGCATAGTAGCACTAAGTAGTTCTATTTCGTATGTCCCGCCAACACAATAATTCCAAACAGGCAGGCCGATACAGAGTATAGTGGTGTAATGTACCGTAAGGACCATTAGCATTACTGCTCCACTTTATTATACGCATATTATATTTTTTTCTCAACGTATGAGCAACAATTAGAACCGCGTTTATATCACTATCACTGGCTGTGTTGATATGCTGGTTATAGATCAGTCCATAAAGCCATGTTTATTTACTGGAATAGTTGCAAAGGCCTCAGTTCCTTCCCTTAAGCCTTTGTTTCTAGGCATTAAGGGTAAAATGGAATAAAGTTCTAGTGTTGCACAAAGAAATTAACAATAAGACAAGGAATGTACGAGAATCACCCTATACAGGGTGGCCCAACGAAAAGGTCGCTCCCTTATTTGTGACTCTCCTGGTAAATTTTGGGAAAAACGCTCCGACACGTCAATTCTGATTTATAGGGGGGCGTCTTTTCATCTATAGTCATACAATACAGGATAAAATAAGATGTTGCGTTATGCTTTTAGGTCCCCAGAAGTTCGTCGAGCTTGAGAGTGTTAGGCAAGGTGGTGCTCATTTTGAACAATTTTTGTAGTTATTATTTCCATATATTAGTTTTGTTGCCATCCTCATTTGTTATTGTTAAAAACCATAGCAACGCTAGTCAGATATTATCCAAAGCAACTTGAAAATGTCTTATCATCATGGTACAAATAATGCGTTGGAACCTTTAAAAACAAATATCTCGAAAAATATTAGCTTTAGACACTAATAAGTAAACCTTTTTTGTTGACGAAATACGAAAAAATAGGATTTTTTGATCAGTTGTTGTATAAAGGGTAGCACAAAAAAGTTATGATAAGTTATTTACCGAAATAGTGCTGTAAGTGGCGCCCTGTAGAAGTTTGGCCATAAAAAAACGGATTCTTGTTTCGCATACGAGAGAACCTACCTATACTGAGTTTCATGTAAAAATCTAAAATACTTCTCAAGCAATAAGGAAAAATAGAAAATAAAATTGTAACCTTGACCTGTATCTCGCAAACTATCAACTTTTGGACTAAGGTTTGTTTAGGTGAATTCACATATTTTGGTCTGTAGTATCTCCAGTTTCTAGATTTACCAACCTTTCGCAGACACCCTCTATATGAATTGGCTGTGTTAACGTATGTGAATTTAGAAAACTATTTAAAAAATAAATATGATCATGGACTAAATACAAGATAATGACCAATTATATATATACAGGGTGACTTTGAAGTTGAGTCATTAATTTTCAGATAATGATTGTAGAAGGAAGATAAACCAAAATATGTGTGTAAAAATAAAAAAAAAATAAAAAAAATTTTACCTTGTTTTATAAAGTATCCTCCCGACAAGTATTTCAGTGCGGACCTGTATTTGATCGTGCGGTCTTGGAGCACCGGCATGCCCTCCCCTGTGAGGTCTTAAGTCACCTGATTCACGAGCCCTTTGTACTACATTAACAAAGGCACGAGGGGTTGGTTGCACTCGATTGGGAAACCGATCCGCATAAATCCGTGATGCCGCGTAAATAAGAATCATGTCCACAAGTTTAGCATTTTCGTAAACATGTGCCATTTTTGATTTCGTTTGAGCCACGCAACAGACACCACTATTCACTCACGCGTTACCGACTGACACTGACTGTATGCAACTGAATAAAATAATTGTAGAAACATCGTTCCAAATTCTTTCGCTTTTTTGTTTCCGATGCGATGAACCGATAAGGCGGATTATATCCGTTGTTGCCAAACACGAGCACATAATATTATTATTGAGACAGGGCGGTACTCAAACTTCCAAAGGGCTATAATTTTGTTACTTTAATTTTACCAGAAAAATGGTAAAGGAAAAAAACATTTCTTTTGATCAGATCTACTCACTGTTAAAATAAATGACTCAATTTCGAAGTCACCCTGTATGTGCCTCTTGTGAAATACAATGTATCCAGGAAGTCTCCAAGGTGTTTAGAGCCAAAAATGTTGAACAGTTTGCTAACAAATATAAGAAATGCCAAGTATGTGCTTTTTTAGAATAAGACTTAAGCAGTTCCTCATAAAAAAATATTGTTACGCCGTCTCTAATATGTCTTGTAAGGTTTCTAGCGTTTGTAGATTATTTGTTTGTTTTTCATATTTTGCATTTTATATTCATTTTGACGAGTTCTATGCATTGTATCTGACGGAAAGAACAATCAACTATTACCATTACAATTGCGATTCTCCCTCGCACAAAGAAAAAGAGAACTATTATAGTCTCGCTCTAATGGTACTTGCAATGAATATTCTGTTGTTCTTAATGCGATTGTTTGAAATACTTATTTTTTTGTACCATCATTAGGTTTGTTATCTGGCGGCCATCAAGCAGTCGCCTGACATCTAATTATTTCAATAAATGGTTCTATTGTTTTTCGGCGAACATGACGGTTTCGAGATCTGAGCGGTAATCTTAGAAATGTGCGAAACGCTGAACAGATTAATGGAGAGATCGGAAATTAGAAAAATGAAAAATCTTGCATTCTAGGGAGATAATTTCTGACTCACAGGGCTATTATGTAAAAAACATAAAGAATGTCGAAGAAAAACGGACGAAATGTCATCTTGCAGATTATTTTTATATTATTATATTTTTAAGGGTGCTAGTTCATTTCACATTTGCCTGCTATGATCGCTGTTCGCTGACATTTAATTAAGCAACACGTACAAAAATTAGCCATCGAAGTTGCACATACCTCCTTCATCTTCTGGCCTCCCAAAATACTGAACTGCAACGTCGCATTAGTGCCTAAGGTGGTTAAGCAAGTAGTGGCGAAATGATATGGACTATGGAAGAATAGCGTCACTTAAATCAGTTTTTGGCGAAGTGTCTGAAGTTACATTGTGGTATACCAAATCCTACATGCAGTACTGTGATGTCTGTGATATAGCAGCTAGTCAGGAGGAAGGTAAACATCCAGAAATGAAGGTCACCTGAAGGTAGTTGACCGCAGAACACTGGATTGTTTTACGTGTTGCGAAACTAGCAGGAAGTGGGGTGCTAATATTTCGATGCTCCGCTAGTGATGTAAAGGCGACTATTGTTATTCTAACATATTTGGAATTTTAGACATCGTCACTTAAGTTGTAACACC